CTTCAGGCATGGAGAGCCAGGCAACTTCCATTGGGACCACCGAGCCTTTGTTTCTGGATCAGAGCTGTAGACCCATGATTCACCTCCAGTTATGACCTTGAGGAAATCTGGTTCATTGGTAACGTTTGTATCAAGTCATTAGCCACTGTACCACAATGTTCCTTCTGCTCTGGTAGCAGAAGCCACAGAACGAATTTTGCCATGCCATGTTTCAAGCCCAAATCCTGTGTCAATATCTCATACACACAGCATTTGGAATCCCCAGATCAGTTCTAGTTTTCACACTGTCAGCTGCCGATCTTTGCTGATTGCAGCCCGTATGTGTTCAACATTCTCAGGTGTTCTGCTTACTGCAGGCCTTCCAGAATGTGGATCACTTTCAACAGATTCTCAACTATTTTTAAAGCATTCGTGTCACATTTTTATTTACATTGCACTCACTGAAAGAATGCTGAATCATCCAAATGGTTTTCATGGGGAGAAATGTTAAACTTAACATAAAATTTGATGCAGATTCATTGCTCCGATCATGGAGTCATTTTGAATGTGGTGGCCACACAATACACATGCTCACTCAATGATGTCTACTGCCCCGACTAACTGTACATTGAAGTTGTCATTGTTCACGCATGCACATTCCCATCCACTCTCCTTGGCTATCAGGTTACATCGATGTTATACAAACTGTTCTCATTATATCAACAATCCATCAATTCCATTTCTGAGTGTACACCCAGGGAAATAAAAACAGGATTTTGACAAGATATGTGCACAACCATGTTTATTGTAGCATTGCTCACCATAGCCAAAATATGAAAACAACCCAAATGCCTATTAGTGGATGAATGGATAAAAGGTGTAGGGTATTTACACAATGAAATGTTATTCAGCCACAAGAAAGGACGATGTCTTGCCAGCTGAGACAAAATCGATGGACTTCAAGCATGTTATGCTAAATGAGATAAATCAGAAAGAGATGTACTTGTATATCTAATGCAAGTATAATGAATGTAAATAAAACTTCACTATAATGAAATAATGTGATAAATATTGCTCAAAGGCAATCATATTAGAGTATGTAAGTGTATCAAAATAACATGCTGTACATCTTAAATTTACACACTCCAAATTTATCAAATAAAAATAAAATATAAAAAGAAACACCAACACTTAGGCTAATAACAATAAAATGTACCTCTCCTTCACACCGATGTACATTTATTCTGTAGAAATATTATAGAGACTAATAATTGAATGCTTATTTAAAATGAAGTGATAGAATTTTCAACAAAGAATATTCTGAATCATGGATAGAAATGGGAAAAATTTATTTTGTAGGGCGTGGGAGACGCTCACAGAGAGTCTAATCCCATGATTTTTCTCAGAATAGCAGCATCTTGCTCAGCCGCACTACATTTATATGGGTATAAAAATGGTTATCATCTTATTCCAAGTTTCCAAACAGTGGACTGAATTACACTTTGAAATGTTCCTTTTATCACCAAACATACTGCAGTAATCTTAATAGACTCCCAATGAAGAAGTCAAAAAAAAAAAACAAAACAGGCTTTTGTGGTGAGGGAGCAACATAGTCATTTTAAGGAGATACAAAATAGGTACATAAAGTTCTCAGGAATTGTTGGATGGAAAACTATTTTCCATCCATTCTGTCACATAAATATATATACAACACATTATTATAATGTACTAAGGAGAAGAAGATCATGCATATCTTTTTAGAATATATTCATATGTTCTCATGGTATAATTTTCTATGTATCTGAAACAAAATCAGAGAAATTAGATTACTGGATTTTTTTAAATGTTGGCCAAATAATGAACTTGTTAAATATTAGGATTATAAACATGGTCTTTCTCCATCTTTCTGAGTAGGATCTGACACATTAAATGGAATTTCCCCTGATAATCTCTTTCTTTCTTAAACACTTCACAGAATTTGTGTCTTATTCTTGCATTTTTTTCATTAACACATAAGCAAATGTTGATTATCATTTGGTTTTGGGGAGTCCATATTCTAAAGTGGTGTTCATAGGATTCTGTACCCTGATAACTGTTGTTGTCATGCATCTTTTTTCCATTGGTCTGGAAGTGGGGTATTCAAAAATGAAACTAAAAACAAAGGCCCTCATGGAGACATAATAGAAGTTGGAGCTTTGTAAACTGAAAACAAGGAAGAAATCAGCACATAAAAAATTTAAACTATGTTTTTTGAGCTTTTCGGTTGTATTTTGTTTTAGTAGGGAGATACATTTGGAATGTCATTGTCACTAGTACAAAGGAATTTTTTCTGTTTCACTGAAGTTTAAAAAAAAAATAGAGGGAGAATGAGGCATTTCTCCAAGTGGGAAAGCTCTGTGTTAAAGAATAGGATTTTAATGGACAGCCCTTCATTTTTGTATGATAAAAATACAAAAAAAAACTTGAGGTGTCAAACAGGCATTAAAATTAAGTAAACACATCTGTGAAAGATGATAAACGTCTGTAGGCATTTTAGGATAATCTAGTAAAACAAATGTTTTAGAAATTCAACTACATGTGTAATAGAATATATGTCTAGACACAAGTTTTCTGAAAGGTCGGGCTTTTTTTTTTTTAGTTAAATAAAGAGGGCTGACTGCAAAATTTTGTTAGTGTAATATAAGCTCTCTCTTACTTTAAGCACAACTGTGCAATTTTCTGTCTCTAAAATCCTACTGTCAACTGTCACTTTTCAACGTCCCCAATTCAATGGAACCTGCTCTTTCTGTAGTTGATTAAAAGAATTCAGACCTGACTCCAGAAGTACACAACTATTCTAAAATGAAATTATGTGAACCAGGAAGATTCCAAAAAATTGACAGCATTTTAAAAATGATCCCATTTTAACTAATAGTCAACCATCACTTACCTGAAAATAAATTTTTTATTTTTTTCTTTGGGAAAGACAAGAAATAAAGATTCATGGCTAATACACTATTATGGGTCATCAACTCACTACCTTTTTATGTTCCCAACTGTGTATTAGAAGCTGTAGGACAATGGTTTTCTTTCCTTCCTTCTTACCTCCCTCCCTCACTTCCATCAGTACTATTTATTTATTTATTTATTTATTTATACAAATAGACTGTAAAAATTGAACTCCAATATGGAAAATAAAACAATAAAGCAGGTTATGCTCTAGTTCAAATAAAGGCCCAAAGCCCTGACTACCGTTGCTCCTTCCAAATACCTCACTGTCCAAACACACCTCACTGTGTTTGCGTGTTGCCCTGTCCTTGGTGGTAAATTTGTGTTACCTTCCATAAAAATAGGAAACACATTTTTAAAAATTTAAGGGAGTTAAATTGCTAGTAGAAACTTTTTAATATTAGAGAACCGAGATGAGGCAGCAATTGGGTCAAAGAGGCAAACTGCCAATTTCACTGGAAAAAAAATCAATAATTGACAAAACATTCTAACCAAACTTCTGTTTTAATAGTTTTTTTAGCTGCATAGTAGGTCTGAATAATCTATCTTGAATATTATTCAGAAATAAAATTTTAAATAGAATAGTAGCAAATTTATTTCAACACTAAAATAGTAACACAACATATATAATAAACTACATTTCAAGATGCAAGATCCATTTACTATTTGAAAATCTAATGATATATTTAAGCCATTAATAAGCTAATATAGACAATTATTGAATTGTTTGCTTAGATAAGAATATAAAATTTAATAAAACTCAATAACAATTTCTGTTAAAATAAAATATATTAAACCCATCTAAGTAAACTAGAAATGGAAGGATGATTTCTTAGTAAGATAAAAAATGTATTTCTAGCCCTGGCTGGTGTAGCTCAGTGGACTGAGCTCAGGCCTGCGAACCAGACAATCCCGGTTCGATTCCCAGTCAGGGCACATGCCCAGGTTGCAGGCCGGTTCCCTGCAGGCCAGTTCCCAGCAGGGGATGCACAAAAGGCAACCATACATTGATGTTTCTCTCCCTCTCTCCTTCCCTTCCCCTCTAAAGATAAATAAATAAAATCTTTAAAAAATGTATTTCTAAAAACTATAGAAAATGACAACTTAATGGAAGAATACTAATGTCATCATTCCAAATTTTCAATAGCCAAAAAATTGCCATTATTATGCAATATATTTCTAGCAGTTTTAAGTGATTCAGCATATTTTAAGCAATTGACACATCAAAATGGAATTTCCCCTAATAATTCTTTCTTTCTTTATAAGGCTTCAGGGAATTTGCTTTTTATTTTTGTTTTTTTTAAATTAATATATAAGTAAATGTCAATTAAAATTTGGTTCTAGGGATCCGTAACTGTTGTTATCATGCATCTTGTCTACACTCGTCTATTTAAAAATAAAAGTAAAAAACAAAGGCCATCATCGAGACATACTTTGTAAACCGAAGACAGAGGAAGAAATCAGTACAGAGGACAGAATTTTCTTTCAATTGTTTTAATAGTTGTTAATTATTTAAAAGATGAAAAAATTATTATTTTTACAATAATTTTTAAATTATTGTTCAAGTACAGTTTTCTGTCTTTTACTCCCATCCCAACCCACCCCTCAGTGCTCCCCCTCCCTCCCATTTCCACCCTCCTTAATTTTTGTCCATGTGTCCTTTATACTTATTCCTGTGAATCCTTCCCCTTTTTCTTAAAACCCCCAAATCAACTTTAAAATATTAAATCTTATAAAATAGAAACTACCTATTTATAATATATGTACCAGCATTAATTTTACTATACTCAGCAGAATTTGGTTAAAAATTCATTAGAAAGAAAAATGCCAATAAGAATAATAAAAAATATATATAAGAATAAATGTAACAAGAACTGCATGGAACCTATATAATGAAAACATCAAACTTTTACTAAAGGATTCGAACAAGGTGTGAGTAAATTGGAAGATATATTTCCAAATGGGAAGCTGAAATGGTAAAATAATTTTACTACCCAAACACCATATACATTTAATTTAATCCCAAGTAAAATCTGATTATGGTTAATTTAACTCTGTCACAATATTATGAGATTTTTATCTGAAAAATGTAAAAAAATAGCCATAGTAATGTTAAGAAAACAAGATGCCTGAGGTGTCAGCAGCAGCTGGGAGACACTGCCTCGCTGCTCTTGGTGTTGCGACGTGCTGTGATGGTGTGGCGGTCCCGGAACGTGACTGTGGTGCCCACACTGAAACAGGTCAACGGATGCGTGTTGCCCAACTTGTAAGATAATTGCATGAAATGAGCAGTTGTACTTACAAAACAACTGTTAAAAAAATAAGCAATTTAGATCGGTACAAGAAGATGAATTATTTCACTAATACTGTTAGCAAAATTAACTTTCAGGAAAGAATCCTCTTACATCGTGTAGCAAAATAAACTATAAATGTGTGAATGTTTAAATCGATCATCAGTTTAAATGCCCAAGATCAAATTACAAAAATATTAGAAAAAAGGAATATTGATGTCATTTTCAAACTTGAAAATTTTTTCTAAATAAAATCCAAAGGTAAACCCTTGGAAAAGAAAGTGATAGATTTAATTACTTTAAACAAAATCTTTAAGAACTTTTCAAAACAATATTTAAAAGCCATGAATAAAGTAGGAGAAAAAGATTTCAATACAGAAATAGATAATTTTTTTAGTTACTCTGTGGATCTCTTCAGGCTGCCATAACAAAATATTAGAGACTGTGTCACTTACATAACATTTATTTTCTCATAGTGCCGGGGGCTGGTGTATCTAAGATCCAGTTGCCAGCAGGGTTGGTTCCTCCAGAGGCCTTTCTCTTCTTGCAGATGGCCGGCCGTCCTCTCGCTGTGTCCGCGCGCACACACACTGTTCTCTGTGCAGGTGCATCCTGGGAGTCTTGTCTTGTGAGGACACCAGGCCTGCTGAATGACAGCCCCAGCCTAATGATCTTATTTAACCTTAATTATTTCTTTTTAAATCTTCTTTTAAATTAACATTCAAATATAGTTGTCTCCATTTTCCCACCACCACTTTCCCTGGCCCCACCTCCCACCCTCAATCCTACCTGACTTTGGCTTTGTCTTGGGTCTTTTATACATGTTCCTTGATAACCCTTCCCCTTCTTTCCCCCATTATCCCCCTCCCATCTGATTTCTGTCGATTTGTTCTTAATTTGATATTTATCCTTAATTATTTCTTTTAAAACCCTTTCTCTAAATACAGTCACATTGGGGATTAAAACTTCAATATATAAATTTGGGGAAACAATTTAGTCCATAACATTTTCCATCTGTATAAGTGATAAGTTTGTCCAATCAATAAGGAAAATTTGAACCCCACGACAAACAAGTAGACAAAGGGAAAATTAGGGAATCTACTGGAAGAAGTACAGGTGTCCAATTAAATGAGGAAAATGGTTCAACTCACTTGTAATCAAACATGACTTATTCAACTGCCAGAGATGAAAAATGTTTTTTGCCTATCAAATTAATGAAGATTATCTTAAAATATTCTTAATAATCAACTAGTTAAGTTACAAGGAAAATGACTTCTTAAGCTTCATGACTGAACTTAACAATCTTTTGTTAACTCAGAGTTAAAACTATTGCTATAGTTTGGAACAAATATCCAAATAATTGGCGAATTTTTTAATTTTTAATTTTAATTTTTTACCTGAGAATAAACACCTTTATTACACGAGGATGTTTGTTGTTGTTGTTGTTGTTTTGACATGAGCTTTTAAGATAGGAGGGAAGAGGATTTATTTGCCTTTTTTGGGCATTGACTTACCTCAGATAGAACTCCAGCTCCTTGCGCTGGAACACAAGCCATCTGCTTGCCCACAGTGGCCTGGCCTTGGAGCAGTGTGTGCAAGAAGCTTGCCCTGGGAACTGCTCCTCTAGAAGACTTTTCCTTTATCATATTTCTTGTGAACTTTCTTGGATCATTTTGGTTTAAAATCTCTTCCTCTTCTTGCAGCCCAGGGGCAGTGCATAATGGGACTGATACCACTGTCGGTACGCTGTGCTGTCGGTGAGCACCATGCAGTTCTCGGCTAGGGTCTGGTACAGACCGGTTCATTGCTGGACGTATTGTGGACAGCATCAATAATCCTTGTTTTGTGCATATAACACTCCGAGCCCCAGGAGACGTTGCCCAAGTCCAGCCTCAAGGCTCGGTGATTCCTGTTGCCTCCCCACATGCGGACCATGTGTATGACCAGGGCCAGTCTTAGTGTTGGCAGCAGGGTGTCCCAGCTCATATTTTTGCTTCTTGTGGTAGAGCTTTCTCTTGTCCTTGGCATTTTAGTGCTTGTGCCAATTGTCCTGAGAGGTACCCATGGCTTGGTGCCAGGTGGAAAGAGAGAACACGAAGTGTCATGGTCCAATTTGTAAAACACAGTCCCGCCCTGCACCAATTTTTGTTTATTTTATAGCTAAATGATAAGCATTGAATAAATGGTGGATTAGATACATTTTAAAGAAATTTAGATTTCAAAATGTCAAGCTTGGTTTTATTAGCTTTTTTAAAAAGAAAATTTCCATATGAATTAAATATAAAAAATCTAACAAAAAAATAATATGTCTGCTTAGAAGGCTTGATCTCTTCAGTACTGACAAGGCCAATATGTGTAGTTAAATTGCAATCCACAGAAATTTAGGAGAAATTTAACCTACATCTTAGTATATGCAGGAATTTCATTGGGCCTTTTTCTATACTTTTGTGTAGGGGAAAAATATACAAGATATTTTTTAATTTTGATAGTGGTAAGAAATTTAACACATTAAGATATTTGAAGATGTATAAGCACTCAAAAGATGTAACTGACAGGCTCTTTGTGGGACAAGTACCAAAGGATGTACAATAGTCAACAGAAAAATGAATCAGTGTAGAGAAATGAAGAAGGTGGAGAGCATGATGTATAACAAATAGTGATGGTCATTTAAACCTAAAAAACAAATAGTAATGTTTAAAATCCACAACAAAGAAACCTGACATACTGCTAATTTAGGGAATGAAAGAAACCCATGAAATATTGTGCTGAATTAAAAGCCATTTAGGTTAGTGACTGCAAAGCTTATACTTCCACAGGAGCCATTATCATCCATGAGGAAGAAGAGTTTTAGGGGTGAACATTATTCTGTGAGTTTAGTGGGCAGTATTCCCTTGGGAAGCCGCTAACCTAATCCCAAAGATCCTTGGACTCTAATTGCAAATTGCTAGGGAACCATGCAATAGTTTTCCATAGTAAATATTCATATAGAAAACATTAAAAAGTATCGTTCTAGTTCTTACTATACTTTGAGACTAGCTTATTGGCCTCTTCGATTGTGAGTGACACATTCATATTTATGTCATAAAAAACAAAGAACCTGAAAATGAGGATAAATTGTTGCTTGAAAAAGTAAATTTTTGAGATTGCTTATTTGATTAATAATTTATTCGTCATTTTAAGTGTCCTAAAATTATAAACTGAGTGATTAAGGTTAATCTTTTAGAAATGTTCACCCAGAGAGAAGCAGTATGTGGAGCTACTGGCAGACACATTCTTATTTTGTAACCAATTGAAAATATTCAAGATAAGTTAAAATAGCAGCAGATTGGACGTATAGAAGGTTCTTGGAATTCTCAAGTAATACACCTAAATTATTAAGGTTTTGCTTGGAATAATGTCTTTTTATATCAAGGTTAATTAGCCAGAGGCATCTATTTATTATTAGCTTATCACATATTCAAATATTTAAACTGTACACACGAATACTTTTCATTTGTCAGCTATAACCCAGGTTTTAACCTTAAGCAGCAGGCTCCTTAGGTTATGATAGTCATTATGAAGGAGATAATGTCCCGGAATTTCACAGGTATGTACAGAATTCAGATATTTTCATTTTCCTGCAAAAAGCTGCTTCAGTTAATATTTTTAGGGAAACAGAGTTCTGAAGCTGGCAGAACTACCTTTAATTCCAGGTAATAAGTGATTAGTTTCACAATGGGGTGACAAATAGAACTATAATTTGTGAATTTGGTAACATATGGATATTTGCCACTGAGGGCATGAGTAGCTCCATTTATCTAATAGCTGAATAACAGCTAGCAGTCAAGGCCAGAAGACAGACACTAACCCATATTCACTGGGAAGACATTTATAGTTTGTTATTAGTAGAGGAAATGTAGTGGTTTGCACCAAATCTTTTTGTCTTAATTCAAACTGCATTATATAAATCAAGTATTCCACCAACTTCTGCACACATTTCAATATAGTGATCCAAAACTTACCAATATTACCTAACACCGATTTGTATGCCAGTAGTTTAGAATCTAGAGAGCATTTCCCAGAGAACACTACTTCAAATCATAGGATCCTTAGTCCAGCCCTGAAATTCTTCTTAAACAATGTAGACTCATGATATGGCTACATAACAAACCACTCCAAAATTTAGTAAGAACAACTTTCTATTATTTCTCACATTTCTTTGAGTTGCCTGGTTTTTCTGCTTCATGTGATGTTATATTGGCCAGCAGTTATCTAGGAGCAGAATAAGGGGCAAGGGGGTGTCCAAAATGGGCAGTCACATAATTGGCAGTTGATGCTGGCTATTGGCTGGGAGCTCAGCTGGCTAACAACCAAAGCATTTACAAATGGCCTCTCATTAGACTTGGACTTCTTGTAGCATGGCTGTTGGTTCCAAGAGGGAGCATTTCCAGAGCAAGAGTGCCAAGAGACAGAAAGGAGGAGCTGGGAATCCATTAAGGGTTAAACCCAGAACAAGCAAAGTGTTACTTCGGCCATAGTCTATCAGGCACAGCAGTCACAGAGCTCACTGAGATTCAAGGAGTAGAGATACAAACTTTGTTGAGAGAATGCTAAAGTCATATTTTATTTCTTATTTTTCTAGTGAATTTATTGGGGTGACATTAGTTAATAAAATTATATAGGTTTCAGGTATACAGGTCTGTAATACAGCATCTGTATATTGTATTGTGTGTTCACCACCCCAAAAGTCAAGTTTCCTTCCTTCATCACCATTTATCCCCCCTTTATCTTCTGATATCTCTCTATCCTTTCCTTCTGGTAATTACCATACTATCATCTGTGTCCATCAGTTTTGGTGTTTTTGTGTAATCCTTTCATCTTTTCCACCCAGCTCAATGCTCCGCCTCCTTCCCTGATAGCTGTCGGTTTGTTGCCTATAGCTATGATTCTGTTTCTATTTTGTTTGTTAGTTTATTTTGTTCATTAGAGTAAAAGAGGGAATGCACTGAAGCCATTTGTCTGGCCATCCTTGGAAAATGTAACCTGCCACCCCTGCTATCTACTAATGCAACCTAAGTGAACTTACCATCATATTGTATAAGGATGTAGTTGGGCTGCATTGTACTGAGATCCAGAACCTTAAGGCCTCACACCCAGCTTTACTTAATCTCTCTAAATTTTAGTAACTTATTCTAAAACATGAGCTATTATAATAATATAAAACTACTTATTCTGTGCTCACTTCAGCAGCACATATACTAAAATTGGAATGATACAGAGAAGATTAGCATGGCCCCTGAGCAAGGACAACATGCAAATTCGTGAAGCACTCCATAAAAAAAACCAAAACTACTTATTCAAAACTACTATGTGCCCAGATTTTTTTTGAAGTGATTTTTGGTCATTATTTAATCTCAATGGCAGCTCTAGGAGATTATGTTCTTTTATTTCAAGGGTAGGAAACTGAAATTAAAAGATGTTAATGAACTTTCTCAAATTTACATAACCAGCAAGTAAAGCTGAAATATGTCAGTGTTCTTATTAGGATTAAAACAGGTAATATGTATAACTATAAAACGAAAGGTCATATCATCATTATACACATATAAGTATCTAATTCATAATGTTTTAAAACTAAACACATTTTCATTGTGAGATATTTGAGGGCATGCAGAAGAGTTTAAGAAGCAATGTAAACCTATGTAAAGAACTACTATATATATTGTTTAGTCACTGATGTGTTAGGGACTCAATAAGCTATAGTCATCATTACTATGAACAACCTCTATTTACATAAAAATTATAGTCTTATATACAACACAAACTTTGAATTAATCACTTTGAAATTACATAGAAAAATCCCCTCACAATCTTAGCACCTTTCTCCACCACATTCCCATAATGATGCAGATGACCTCTTTGTAGGAGAAATTACAAAGAACTTGGGTTTGTAGGACTCTAGAATTTCAGACTTTGTCAGTGTTTGTCGAAGTGTAGATTTAGCCCTTCTGTTTCAGAACCGCTTTTTGTGCTTCTTATTAAAATTTTAAATGTATATGTATTGATATAATAAAGATTCAGGTTCATAGAACTGAGATGATTATAATACTTGCTCATGACATTTGTCATTTCCAAGGTCCCTCTTGTTTTCTACTGATTTCTTTTTTTAAAGATTTTATTTATTTATTTTTAGAGAGAGGGGAAGGAAAGGAGAAAGAGAGAATTAAACATCAATGTGTAGTTGCCTCTCACACCCCCCCACTGAAGATCTGGCCCACAACCCAGGCATATGCACTGCCTGGGAATCAAACCAGTGACCCTTTGGTTCCTAAGGCCCATGCTCAATCCACTGAGCTACACCATCCAGGGCTTTCTATTGATTTCTTGTCCTCTTCATCCCCATTCCCATTCCCAATTCCAATCCCTGCGTGCACAGTGACTCTAATACATTTATTCCTGTTCTGCTAATCCACTTTCTGTGTGGTCATTAAGTATATGCATATCCTTGGCAAATACATAAATAACATTGTATTTTTGTGTGAGTTTTATTCAATTTTTCACATATAACATTGTGCTATAAATTTTATTTCAGTTCTTTTTACTAGTCGCTCTTACTCAGTGAGTGCTGCAGTGTTCTGTCCTATTCAGGATCACAAGGTGTTCATTGTAGACATCTCTGGGGATGGAAATCTGCTTTGCTTCCAATGCCTTGTAATCACATTCTTTGTTCTCTTTGGAGCCGAGTAAAAGTTTCTCAGGGATACTTCTCCAGGAATTAAATTGTTGTGGTATAGAGTATACACATACTTAATTTCATCAAGTGCTATGAGATTGTTATCAGAAATCTTGCTCTAATTTGGCCTCCCAGCAGAAGTGCTTTTGTTTTTCTATATATTTTCCTATGGTAGACATATTTAAAATACTTTTTCTTGACATTTATGTAGGATTAAAAAGTTATCTTGTTAGGTAATGGACATTAATCTGACAGGAAAATAAACATTTCCTGATGTACTTTGCTCAGTATTCTTTGCGTATTTTGTCTTTTTCTTATTATTTTGCAGGAAGTCATTGTATATTTCAGCCTTTAA